TAAGTTTGTTCAAATGAAGGGCCACGCCCTCTTCCAAGGGGAGAAAATTACGAAATAGCGAAAAATTAATGGCATCATTGAAAAATCTTCTTCTTAAGAACCAATAGGACAGGAAAGATGAATGTCATGTGGAATCATTGTGAGGTAGTGTAGATTCAGGTTTCTTAAAATCATGACCCCTTTGGTAAGGGTGGGGCCACAGTGGACGATCAAATTTTAACATAGGAATATGTAGGAAAAATCTTTAAAAATCCTATTCTCAAGGACAGCAAAGCTATGATTGGTCATATGTATATGGAAGCATCCTCAGGTGGTGTGGAATCAAGTTTCTACAAATCATGACCCCCGGGGGTAGGGTGGGGTCACAATGGACGATCAAAGTTTAACACAGGAGTATATAGGAAAAATCTTAAAAGTTCTTCTTCTCAAGAACAGCAAAGCCATGATTGGTCATATTCATATGGAAGCATTTGCAGGAGGTGTAGATTCAAGTTTGTTCAAATCATGACCCCCGGGGATAGGGTGGGGCCACAATGGACGATCAAAGTTTAACATGATAGTATATAGGAAAAATCTTAAAAATTCTTCTTCTCTGACAAGAACAGCAAAGCCATGATTAGTCATATTTATATTGAAGCATCCTCAGGTGGTGTAGATTCAAGTTTGTCCAAATCATGACCCCAGGGGTAGGATGGGGACACAATTGACGATCAAAGTTTTACATAAGAATACATAGGAAAAATCTTTAAAAATCTTCTTCTCAAGAACAGCAAAGCAATGATTGGTCATATTTATATGGAAGCATCTGCAGGAGGTGTTGATTCAAGTTTATTCAAATCATGACCCCTGGGGGGGGGGGGGGGGGGGGTAGGGTGGGGTCACAATGGATGATCAAAGTTCAACATAGGAGTATATAGGAAATATCTTTAAAATTCTTCTTCTCAAGAACAGCGATGCAATGATTGGTCATATTTATGTGAAAGCATCCTCAGTTGGTATAGATTCAAGTTTGTTCAAGTCATGACCATCGAGGGTAGGATGGAGCCACAATGGACAATCAAAGTTTAACATAGGAGTATATAGGGAAAAGCTTTTCAATACTAAACTGATTTTTGCATTTTTTTTTTAAAGCCACAGTGCTCAGGTGAGCGATGTGGCCCCTGGGCCTATTGTTTAGCATACGCTGGATTCTAACGAAAATCAGGGGTTTTGTTGTTATCTTGGTCTATCCGTCGGTCACATTTATTTCTTGTCCAAACTCCTCTTGCACTTCCTCTTAAGCAGTAGCCAATTCATTTTTGGAACATAATACCGGGGTAATTAAAGAAGTTGTGGACTGGCGCGATGCAAAGCTCATTATGTATTAAATTTTTATGATTTTTATTTTGACAAGCATACAATCTGATTAAATTCTGATAGTCCCTTTACAAAGATCTTTGTACAGAGACTATCAAAATTTCGGAGCGTAACAAATATCTGGTTTTAATCAGATTGACAAGCAAAAAATTCATTGCCATATACCAAAAATAAAACATATAATACCTCGGAAAAAATTGAAGGCACAGCTCGCCAGTCAATTTTCGACATGTGTAACGTCAAGAAAGTTTTTTTTTACATTTTTTTTTCTATATATTCCCTCTTTTCTCGGATATATCTATGGTGTTGGTTCACCCATTAAAAATATTCTGGATCGTAGAATGAAATGATATCTTACTGCTAATCTAAATTCATTAAGATTGCTTTAAACTTCTTTGAGATTTCCCCTTAATCTGGGGGGGGGGGAGCAAAATAGCAAGGTATGGGGAATCTTCTCTTTCACAAAACAGACGCTAATCTTTCGCCGTCACAATTTTCCTTCATCCCGAGTGTGGATCACTTTTACTATTTACCATCCGTCCTTGAACCGCTAATGCTACCTCTGTGTCTACATAACCACAATTCAAATCAGAATAAAATTTAGCATATATATAGTTATAAAAATGTTTTATAAATAAAATGTGCTATGTAATATTTTGTTCCTTGCTTATGACATAACGATGTGAAAATGGCGTCAATATGTACATGATGTAGGAGACATGTGACATAAAATGGTTGACTCAGTCGTCATCGAGCAAGGAACGGTTGTAAAGTTTTACGTAACTCTCCGAAAATTCTTTGCAGTAATATATAATGATTTGTGCGAGGTTTAAGAAGACAAAGGGCTTGCCAAATATTTAGTTATTGGATGGATTGTTTTGGTGAAGGAAGGAAAGCGCCCATACTTGATCCACATTGGATACAAGACACATCCAAGACAGAGGACACGGGTTGTGATGAACACCATGCACATACATGTACTTACAAAAATAACCCTAATCCACCAATCCTATGATCGAGATTTGGCAATTTATGACATTTGGGCTTTCCTTGTTAAAAAATTAATAACTTGTAATAAGTATGGTAGTAAATATAAGACCCTGGAAAATCTTTGGTCTGTTGTGAACAGTAAGCCACGGAGCACGTCACGTGACCGCTTGGACAAAGTGTTTCATGCATTGGTAGAGCGGTGGTACATGTATATGTATATTAAAACAGGAGGATCTACTTTAAAGAAGAATAAAAAGTGAAGCCCAGTTTGATTTCTTTTATGGACGTTATTCAATTAGATCGCGGACTTTTTGATTACCCCTCGTACCCTGTGGGCTTGAAAGATTCCCAACACTATCGACATTGTTATTGCCACCATATACTGCAGATCACCAAATTTTTGCGACACTTTATTTTTGCGAGATGGTCATTTGGTATTGATAAGCGAAACATAATTTTCACGAACTTTGGATATTGTACTATATATTCTTTAATACTAGAAATATACGCGAGAATGAAATTTTCGCGAGCAGGCAGTCTCGCGTAATTATTCGAAAATAAAGTCCTCGCTTATAAAAAGTGATTTACAGTATATGGAAATGCCGTGCCTAGTTTTCTAATTCAGCATTCTTCTCGTTGTCTGCGGAAATATGAACTCGGTGATGGGCTATTTGTATGATGGTAAATCTTTTCTAGAATTCTAACTTTTATTGACAAAATAGAATGATCGGGTAAATTAAAGTGCTTGTATAGAAGCTCATATGTTTGAAAGTTTCATCATCCTTGTATACTTTAGAATGGTAGCTTTATGAAATGTCCAATCATACGAAAATGAATATTTTTGGCTACGTTTGGAAATCTTGGAGAAGTTCCAATGAAATATATGCAGACAAATGGACATACTTTACAAGATATTCAAAATTACTCCAGAAAATGCTGATATACAAGACAATAGACTTTAAATCCATTAAGAGGAATTGAATAGATCATGAAGAAATTGTGTAAGCTTTATCGATACAACGTGTTGAGAAATTTCTATCAGCTAAATCTTATATCAAATATATTTCAGTGCAATTTTATTCATAATTCATTGTAAAAGTGTGCAATTTGTCTGCAACAGCAGGACTATTTTTCCTACCTATGAGAAAGTTAAAACATGTTTTCTATTAATTTTATATATCAAATTGAATTTGAATGATCATGTTTATACTGGGTTCCAAAAACTCCATGAAAATTCTTACAAAGATACACAGCAAGATCTAGCAAATATTCTACCCAGTCTCTCTTTTCTTCTCACGAAAATATTAACAGAAGTGAGGGAGTAACTTCAGTAGTACTGTACAACATCGAGAAATGGTACTTATCAAATATGGATAATAAAAACCTCAAAAGAAATTTTGGAAAATTTGAAATCACCAAATATTGTTAAAATTAATAGTATCATAATTTTTAACTTTTCAACACTATATATAACCATTTCCCAAGATATATTAAAGATCAGACATTTTTGGATCACAGACAACCGCTTCTTTGATAAAAATGGAACTGTCAAATTTTCATATCTTGTCATTAGTATCTGCAAACTTTCTTTGTTAAAAACCATTCTGTTTCTACACACAAGTACCCTTAGATTGATATTGAAAAGATGCTTCAGATCCCCATTAAGAGAATCTATGTTGTCTTTGGAAACCAGGTCTTCAAACAATCTGTTGAAATTTCATGTGACATTTAATTGTGCCCTTTTACTAGCAGACCTGTTTTAATATACTTTTGAAGCAGAATTTATTCATTATCTTCTTCATGAAAAAAGAAGTTTCTTGCTGTGCCTGTCTATTCGACATTTTGTCGTCAGGTCCAATGTTGACTGACGTTTTTCATATAAATTGTAAGACCATTACTTTCATAATAAATGTTTATGGATTTCTCCGTTTACCTAGTCATGACAAGGGGCTCATGGTGTGTGTGGTGGTCTTCAGGGGATGCTACCTCATCTGTGGCACCTGATCCCTCATCTGATGTTTTTTAAGGGGCTGTGTTTGCTCTGTTCTAAATTTGTATTGTTTACTTGTTCGTTATTGTCTCATTTTATCTGTCATAGACAAAAATGTCGACCAAACAATGTTAATTATGGAAGAATAATTTTTGTAATTAAGGTATGTAAGGAATAATGTGTAAGAAATAGTGTAGTTTTCTTAAATAAAGATACGATTACAGGTATTTTTATTTCTTTTTAAGGATAGTTGAAGCTGAAGCATTTTCAATTTCAATTTTAGCAAAGAATTTGATTTGAATGAATACCAAATGGGGAAAATACGTTCATTTAACCTTATAACCACTGTTGTATGACTAATGAAAGCCAATAGATAAGTTGAGTGTTTTCATTGTTAATTTGCAGGTTATGATAAGCCGTGAAAAAAATAACTTAAAAGATGAAGGCAGAAACGTCCCATTATATTTTTTCGATATTAATTTTTTTTCTTAATTAATACTGATTTTTTTTCTCTCCATAGTGTCTGTGATCGACACCTGAAACTAAACAGTTCATGGTTGAAAAGTGGAATTTGCGATCTAAAAAAATTTGCAACAGAGTCATCAGAATATATGGGGAGATCACTCTAAATTCTAGCATGTTATGTATAAAACACGACAGGGCATTCTCTTATCTTAGATATTTTGTTACTGTGATGCACGAGCAGTTCAGGTAAGATTTTTTTAACATAGCTCAAAAATCAGTTTGCAATCAATTTTTAATCAAATTTGTTTTTATGATAGTGCTGTCTCTATCATTAATGTTCTGTGAATTTATTCCTGAAAAGTGTGATAAATTTTACACCAACCGCAATAACTACCTTAACACAAGGGACACTGATTATATGTGTGTTTGCATGTGCTCATTTATCCTCTCAGTACTGCTTGATAACCTGAAAAACTTTTGACAGCTGATGATATAGGTTTAATATGAATGCTTGAGGAAGCCAATAACCCTATAAGAAATATAGATTCGCTTGCAAATTATGACCTTAAAATAACATATTTGATAACAATAACAATTTCGGAAGGCAAGAGATCTATTTAGGAACCCGTCTTACCTAGTGTAAATGTCTTACATATGTGTTAAATACTTGAATTGGCCTTCGTCTCACAATTTTCTTTCCTCACGATCTAGCCTTGTTGGAAACTGATCGAACTTCATTTCAAGAGTTGAGTCATCTGATCCTTCGTTACCTGCTTAATTTTAGCAATTAACGACGTAATGACTAAAGATGTTGCAGTGATAGGATCTGGTGCAAGCGGACTGACCGCCATCAAATGTTGTGTGGATGAGGGGCTACATCCAGTATGTTTCGAGCGAACAGATCACATAGGTATGTTCTATCGTTAAAATGATATTGTCCTATGGACCCGGTGAGGGCTTGTCCCGAGACACAGTTAGATTATTCTAACTAAGTTATGATATGTTTGACAGATCATACAGGCTGATTAAAACATTTTATAATATCAGATGCTTATATGTATTTAAGTCTAGTACCTTCTTAAGTAGTTGTAGAATTACTTTATAATTACTTAAAAGATTTTGTTGTAGTAGTAAGACTAACGAAGGGTGTGTTTTTGTCCTTGTGCTTTCGTCATTACATTTAATATCACATACATATAATAGTGTTAAAATTATCAGCTTCTTATAAGGTCAGCTAAATGCATAAACAATAAAGATTTTACTACGTACTTTCTTGATCCAGCAGAAAACAAACATGACGATGATATGAATGATTTATTGTCGCGACCTATATATTTCTACATCAGGGGTTCCATAAGGGAAAGCAATGTGGGGAATGTAATATAAGTTTCTGTTAAAAGCCCAGCATATTAGTGTGAATTTCATGCTTATAAGTACTTTAATAAAGGAATTTTATTAAAATGAAATCATATCTACTAAAACAGATAATATACAGAATTTTCAAATTATTTTGCTATTCAACCCTCCAAGAATATTCTTAATTAAAAGGGAACCAAGCTCATTTACAGAGTAGTGAGCAAAGAACCGTTTTACAAAAATACATTGTAATACCAAAATAACAAGAAGTTCTGGAAGTAGAGGAATATACAACACAAAACATGCAAAAACGATGTTTCTATGGCATATTATATTTTTTAAAAAATTAGAATTGAACACCAGACAGCGTAAACAATAAATCAGACGTATCGTTCCACTTCCAGAAAAAAAAACAAATATTGGAGGAGCAGCAAGGTCAAGTGATGCCTCGGCGGGGAGTTTTACAGTATGATGTTCATCTGGTCACGTACTCCCCGCGCTAGTGTTAGCTCGGTAACACAACCTCTATAGAATGTGACGCACACTTTTGCATATTTTAAGATATTATAAGTCAAATGAACAACAAGGATACAATACATTACTATCAATGTTTGTTTAGAAAAATCCTCAGTCTCCTTAAAAAAAAAATATGCTCTTTCGGAGAAACTTCTGACGTACTGTACTAAAGCTTATTTTAGAAGTGGTGTTATCAGAGGGAACTTTTAGAAAATTTAAAATCGCCAAATTTTTCAAAAGTCAGTAACATCGAAACACACGACTTTTCTACACTTTATACAACCAATTCTCGCAATGAATTAAATACTAGTCTTTTTGATATCATAGATAACTGCTTCCTCAATAAAATTTGAAGTCTGCATTTTTTCTTTCTTGTGATAAGTCATCAAAAATTTACTGTGTTGAAAATCACTCTGATTCTACACACAAGCAGGCCCGTAGAACGCGGGGGGGGGGGGGGGCGTTAAGAAGTAACCCCCCCCCAACTTTTTCTGAGTCGGGCACTGGCAAATTCCATGATTTGGACAGTTAGTTAGGTTTTTTCTTGCTTGTCAGAATATTTTTGGAAGTAGGATACAAATTATTTGGGCCTTTTTTAAGTCATTTGGGGGGGGGGGGTGCTACCCCCCCTTTTTTTTGAAACCGTTGCTACGGGTCTGACAAGTATTCTGAAGTTGATATTAAAAGGATGCTAGAGTTCCTCATTGACCACATTTATGAAGTCTTCGTGGACCAGGTCTTCTAACAAACTGTTGGAATTTCGCTGGACACTTGTGCTCCTTTATTAGCAGACCTGTTTTTATATTCCTATGAAGCTAAATTATTCTTAAACTTCTACATGAGAAGAAGAAAACACTTGTTGTGGCCTTCAACTCGACATTTAAATGTATCGACGATGTATTATCAATTTACAATAGCTACTTTCATTCATATGTCGACTCGATATATCTCGGTGAACTTGAAATAAAAGACACCACAGAGTCTGCCATATCTGTTTCATATTTGGATATTTTACTGACTATAGGCGATAAGGGCCAACCAGCAACTAAATTGTATGACAAAAGAGATGACTTCTACTTTTCCATCGTCAACTTTCCTTATTTTCTTCATCACATTCGCACCAAACTTCACTGTGTCCCTTTGAAAGTTTTAAATAGTCTATTTGTAAAAGTCAAGAAAAGTCCATATTTGGATTCTCGAATCTGTGATTATGGATATTGCAAATCATAGGCTCTTTAAGCCGCCTATGAAAATACCGCTCAAACAATCCTTTTCCTTTTGTTCCTTAAAATTCAATATTTTAACTTCTGTATTCGACAAAAACTCAACAAAGGGATGATGCAGTTATTATGAGTAATATTCTTAATCACAAATAGGTCCAGTCTTGTATTTCACCATATTTCAAGTTTAAGTCCACACCTTGTATTTCTTAATAATTTAATTTTGTTTGTATTCTAGCCTCTGATTGGTTAATATCCAAAAAGGAACACAAATTATTTCTGTATAACCTGGTTTGGTATGGGGACACACACCCCTGACATCCAGCTGAATCATCTGTATGCATACAATCCTCTCATTTCCAGTCCTCGGGATTCATGGAAAATTCCAGATTTAATAAACATACCTTTAACTTCAAACAATAATTCGATCTTACCACACGTAAACAAGCTGCTAGGCCTATGTATCAGTTTTTACCTCCCCTCGCTTCCCATCACTTCCGTTACTTCCGTTACTACGGTTGTATTATTGAGCGGCAAATTTGAACTAATAAAAAGCAACGAAATTTTACACCCATATTTATTTAATGATTTTAAAATTAAATTATAAGGAATGACTCTAATTCTTGGCCAAATTATTCGAGTATAACCTGGTTTGGGTCAGTTTACGCTGTTTTATAATCCACTTCGCGGATTATAAAGCGTAAACTGACCCAAACCAGGTTATACTCGAATAATTTGGCCTAGAATTAGAGTCATTCCTAAATAAATTTACGTCGACTATTGCTTCCGAACTTTTCAATTGTAAAAGAAAATCACCAGTGCCAAGATATCGAGCATCTGAAACATTATTCTCATTTTCCTATTCACCCTACAACTATAGTCCTGCTGGACACGTCATTACTGGAGACGTAAGTATAGTTAATAATGAGGACCTTAAATCACTTATTATAAGAGGACCAAAGCTTAGGGAACCCCGATCTTTCAACTGGCGTCATAATTTCATAAATATTATGAATTCACTAGATGATAACGCCAGACGATCGCGACGGACCAAATATGAAAAAGAAGATCTTGACACTTTGTCAGAATGGATTATATTAATCAGATGGATGTTGAAATCGCACTATAAGCGATTGAAGAGCAATATGAAAACCATCTATCCTTCTGTCTTCGACAATGCAAAAGTAAAACAAAAATTTGATAGATTACACGAACAGTACTAGTATGTACTGGTCCCTGCTGACAAAGCAGGTAACAACATTGTCTTTGTTTGTAAGCCTCATTATTTTAATTCTATTTTAGAGGAACTAGGATTTAATTCTGCTAGTGGTAATCCAACTTATACCCATAGCTCCCTTTCTAAGGAAGAAATTCTTCACAACCATTTATCAGTTTTAAATATTTATAATATTCCCAACAATCAAAACGAATTTGAGTTACCATACCTATACTGGATTCCAAAACTCCTTAAAAAATACCTTACAAACAAAGACATATAGCGGGTTCCAATAAATGTTTTACCAAGCCTATTTCTTTACTCCTCACTAAAATATTTACAGCAGTGAAGGAGAAACTTCAGGAGTACTGTACAACAGTATATTCGAGAAGTGGTGTAAATCAGATGTGGATACTTATAACTCCAAGGAACTTTAAGAAAATGTGAAATCATAAAATTTTAACATAATCAATAACATCAAAACGTACGACTTTTCAATACTTTATAAAACCATTCCCCAAGATAAATTAAAGTCCATACTTTTTGACATCATAAACAGCTGCTTTTTCAATAAAAATGGAACTCGTAAATATACTTACCTAGTCATTGATCATTTGCAAAATTATTTTGTCAAAAAAAACATCCTGATTGTACACACAAGTACTCTGAAATTGAGATTAAAAAGATGCTTGAGTTTCTGATTGACAATATCCATGTAGTTTTTGTAGATCAGGTCTTCCAACAATCTATTGGAATTCCCCATGAGTACCAATTGCGCCCCCTTATAAGCAGACCTATTTTTTGTATCCATATGAAGCAGAATTTATTCAGAAACTTTTACATAAGAAGAAAACTTCAACTTGACATTTAGATATATCGACTACGTATTATAAATTAACAATTATTACTTTCATTTAATATGTCATGGCTGTATGTACATAATTTACTGGACCTCTTGGATAAAAAGAAAATTAATAAAATAAAATTTTGGAGCCCTTGCTTCTCTTTGCAATAATAGGACGACAGCTTTCTCGTTGATTCCACATTTTTTTCTTGATCTTCCTTTTCGGCTATAAATAGTACACCCGTGTTTCGTCATCCATCACTCAAGTTTATCAAATCTTCAATTTAGTAAAAATGTTTATTTTTAAATAGACAATTGGCATATTTAACGTGTGTTTTCTCGTAGGATCCCATCTGATAGAATAATTCTTAGATTTATTTCATTTGTCAGAACTCTATAAACTGTTATGACGATGAAAATTTGGCATTTTCAGATATCAGACAGCATCGATATTTTTTGGTGTCCCTACAGATTTCGATTGACCAATTTGACTGCGATCTTTTAATTGTACTTTTTATCTTTTGAATTTCCGCATCCATCTGAAAACTAAACAACGTGAAAGACTAGTTTTTCCACATATCAAAATCATATCTTTAATATGGGTTATTCAGCTATTTATGTAATGAAGCACAGTTTCCACGTACGCACTCATTTTCATCTTTTTGGCAGAGATCATTTTTAAATAGTAGTGACCATGCTTACTTTAAAATGAATTTCTTTGCGAAGACAATAGGAAAAAGCATGGGGTTTTCTGTGATTACGAGTTCTTTATTAGAACTTTTCAACTGCTAAAAAATAAAATTAAATACTTTTCTTTAGTTCTTGGGTCGATACAATGACGTCAGCAAATACAATCTATCATTAAGTCAAATGCTGACTGACTTTTTTCATACTTATTGTTAGGCCATTATTTACACACAGAATTGTCGACGGATTTTTCCGTTATTTCCCGATCATGACAAGGAGCACACGGCGGGTGTGATCGGTCGGCAGGAGATGCTCACTCCTCCATGGCACCTGATCCTACCTCTGATGTCTTAGAGGTCCGTGTTTTCTCTGCTCCTATTTTGTAACTTTTAATGGACTTTTGAGCTCGAATACTGTTCGTTATCTCCACATATTTCATACTTCTACATTTATTATGATAAACTGTATGTTGCATTACTTATTGAATGACCCTCGTAAACAGACTTTGAGCTTGAATACTGTTCGTTATCTCCATATTTCATCTTAGCGAAAATATAATTTTGGGTGCGAAGAGTTGAACACCGCGACAAAATCTGTCTATTGCTCTATGAGCAATGAGCCAGGCAAAAAATCATATTACATGACAAAAATCTGCAATCTTGCCCGGAAAGAGGAAAGAAATTAGATTCAAATTGTTATTCATTGTTTTATTAATCTTGCTATAATTGTTAAGAAAGTGACGGTGGATTTCCTTCCTACTGTTTTTTTTTCCTTCCATCTTCTTCTCCGGGAAGATTGAAGAAAGATGGAAAAAATTTCTAGACACCGATTGTAATTCAAATGGATAAGTAATGATGCATCGAAACAACTTTTTTTCAAAAAAAAAATGTATTTTGAGTTAGCCGTCATCGCTTTCCTTTGTTTCAAGTGAATTACTTCTTAGCATTTAGAATTAGAATTTTTGATTATAATTGAAAGTGTGCTCCGATATAGTAGTTTTGTTTGCCAATTTATTCAACGTGTTAATCTACAAAAACACATATTCAGCGGAGCTATTTCTATGTTTGATAAAGGTGGCCTGTGGTATTACACAGAAGAGGCCACCGATGGTCAAGCTTGTGTGATGAAATCCACAATCATCAACACTAGTAAGGAGATGATGACGTACAGTGACTTCCCAATACCCAAGGAATACCCAGTCTACATGCATAACAAATACGTACTCAAGTACTTTAACCAGTATGCGGAAGAATTTGACCTTAGAAAATACATTAAGTTCAAAACAGAGGTATTACCCTAGAATTTGAACATCTTTTCTTTTTTAACCTATATATAGAGAGATTATCAATTTTTGGTATGTTTATAAATGGTTTTTGTTGTTGTTGTTGTTGTTGTTGTTGTTGTTTGAATTATCTTTTATTATAGGTGGTATCCGTTAGCAGGAGTTCAGATTTCAAGACATCTGGGCAATGGAACATTACAACAAAAGATTTAACAACAGGAGAAACCAAAGAACACCTGTTTGATGCTGTTATGGTGTGCACTGGTCATCATGCTGACAAAAATATTCCAGACTTCCCCGGTATTTCAAGATAAAATTACACATTATCAGATTTCTTTAACATGTTTAACTTGAATTATCATTCACATGAACATGAAAGTAATGTAACACAGTGTCTATTTCTTAATATCAAAGTGAAATTTTCTTTAAATTTGGAAAATATTTTTGACAGGTTTGAAAGATTTTGAAGGCAAGATAATTCACAGTCATGATTACAAACACACCAAAGGATATGAAGACAAAAGAATCGTTCTTATTGGGATTGGAAACTCGGGAGTAGACGCTGCCGTGGAATTAAGTCGTGTAGCAAGCCAGGTAAACTAATTATGAAATACCATACAAAATGTCATGAATTATCAAATTATTTATTTTTCTTTCATAAGTGAAAAAGATGAAGATAGCGATCAGTGATCGACCTCAAAAAAGCTATTAATACAATTCAAATCTGTAAAGAGGGTATAAAACAAGGACCCCCAGAAATTCCAGAGGCGGGATCACGTCCCTAGGAGGAGTAAGCATCCCCTGTTGACCGGTCACATCCGCCGTGAGCCCTATGTATTCATCATGTAGACGGAATCTTAGTTAAGTTCAGTGTATAAAAAAAGGCCTAACAATTGGTATGAAACAAGTCAGCCAAAATACGACCCAATGATAGGTTATATTTGCTAATTAGGTTGTCATAGCGACCATAGAATTTAGAAAATACTGAGTTCAATAGAGGTTGTTGAAATTCCTGTAACATCAACTTTTCTGTCAAAAGCCTTCCTCGGTTTAGATATTGAACGTACTAGGAGCATGCTCTTGAGTATCGAATAGGTTAGGAGACATAAACACCATATGCAGGTGATAGTGGGATGTTAGTAAAACATCCAAATATGAAACAGATGTGGCAGACTCTGTTATGTTTTTTGTTTCAAGTTCACTGGGATATATCGAGTCGTTATATGAATGGAAGTAATTATTGCTAATTTACCATACATCTAAATATCGAGTTGAAGGCCACAGCAAGTGTTTTCTTCTCATAGAGAAGGTTTTGAATAAATTCTGCTTCAGAGGAATATACTAACAGGTCTGCTAATAAAGGAGCACCACAAGTTCCCTTCGAAATTCTAACAGTTTATTGAAAGACCTTGTCTCCGAAGACTACTTAAATGTTGTCAATGAGGAACTCCAGCATCTTTTTAATATCAACTCCAGCGTACCTTTGTGTTGAATCCGAGTGGGTTTAAACAATGTAATTTTGTTGATGACCAATCACAAGATATGAAAATTTCCGAGTCCCATTTTTATTGAAGAAGCAGCTGTCTATGATATTTATTGTGAGGAATGGTTGTATAAAGTGTAGGAAAGTCGTACGTTTTGATGTTACTGACTTTTGGACAATTTGGCGATTTCAATTTTTTTAAACATCTTTGGAATTCTTAAGAATCCACATCTGATTTACACTACTTCTAGAATATGCTGTATCACAGTACGCCTGAAATTCCTTCTAAACAACAGTAAATATTTTTGTAAAGAGTAATGATAGGGGCTTGGTAGAGCATTTGCTGGACCCGGCAATGTATCTCTGTCTGTAAGGATAAATTAAATTTGGATTAGAAATCAAGACACATTTTCGCCATTTTTTTAAATCTATCCACATTGTTCACAAAGCCTTTAACTGAAAGAAATAATTGGGTAAAACAGAATTCTTTTTAATTTGACATCCAATATGTAAGAATAAGCATTCTAACAAAAATGTCTATGTCAGTTGTGCATTTTAATCTCTTCAAATGTATACTGCATTTTCTTAGTTTTTAAAACTTTTTGATTGACTTTTAGATCTGCCATATCATACTTTTATACTGAATCATTTAAGCTTCTTTTTCCTTAAATAACTATTATAATTGCATCATATTAGTGTGATTTATTTTTCAAGATCCAAGACGCCCTAACAATCTTAAGATTTCACCCCAAAAAAAAGTGTTCCATACTTATTCTCATTGTAGAACTCTTCATAGATATTCTGTCTTAATGTTTGTGCATGAATTTAAAAAATGGTCTTTATCATTGTGGAAGAATAAAAAATTTCACTTTCTTGTACTGTACTATTATAAATCACAATATGTTTTCCTACATTTTCATAACGTAATTGAATTATTCACTGACTGAAAGTATTGTAACCCTTACATTGAATCAATTCATTGTTAAAATTGACCTTTAAATGTAACATAGTTCCTTAAATTAACGTGTAGAGAAAGGCGTACTAAGCTTCTAGAACTGTTCGTTATTTCAGTATTTCATTTCAATCCTCTTTGCACAGATTCTACTAAAACCAAACCAATTCCAATTATTCAAATTGTATGATATCTTTCTCTTTCTTTATAACACAATGTATTGCATAAAAAATAATGTATTAATGTTAACTTTAAAAAGTTATACTTGAGCACAAGAAGAGGATCATGGGTATTTAATCGTGTTGCAGAACATGGCCTTCCAGGAGATATGACGGCTTTTAGGAGATCTACAAGGTTTTTTTTTTTTTTGTTCTTTTGTATTGTTTCTAGACTCTTAGATAATTTTTAGAATCTCTTTGTTTTGCCTCAAGAGTTTTAGATACCTTTAGAATATTCAAATTTTGTATGTATTTTGTACATTTTTTTATTCCTTTATGTATTGAATGAAAATTTATTTTGGGTAATAAACCTTTGATGGGATCATAACATTTGTAATTTTAGAGCTTTCGGTGCTGTGTTGAGTTTTTTTGGAGGGAACCTAAACGATATTATAGCAAAGAGACTGAATGAAAGATTTGACCACGCCAAATTCTCTCTGCAGCCAAAGCACCCCCCTTTAGCGCAGCATCCGACCGTACACGACGAACTCCCTAACAGAATCATAAGCGGGACCATCATTATTAAACCTAACATCAGGAGATTCACAAAAACAGGCGTGGAATTCGAAGATGGGACATTTGAAGATGATATTGATGTGGTATTTTTAGCAACAGGATACAAATTTGGGTTCCCATTCATAGATAAATCTATTATAGAAGTCAAAAATAACAAAGTTGAACTCTATAAATTCATGTTTCCTCCTGACTTGGAAAAACATACACTGGCCTGTATTGGATTTATACAGCCGCTTGGAGCAATAATGCCTATTTCTGAACAGCAGAGTAGGCTCTTCACCAGAGTTGTCAAGGTACAGAAGTTGTAAAATTGTTTCTCGAATAGCAAATTTTAAGGTAATTTAGAGAAATCTATTCAATATGCATATATACAAAACATATATGTACAATATAGAAAATTTATTTTTATATTCTGAATGATTTTAAAATATATTGAAAAATTTTATTTGTATCTCCAGAAAATCAAATATCATTGTAACATATTGCAAAGGAAATACAATGATTTTCAATGACAAAACCTCTGGCTTTTATAATTCGAAAAACTCAAGAAAATCATAATGCTCGAGCAATTTGCCTTATAATACGTAAAATAATAAATAATAAAAATTCTGATGAATAAGAACATTTTCCTGGCTTTTAGAAAGGTTTCCATACAATAATTTACTGAAGTTTCTGTTTAATTTTTTATTTTATGTTTGATAAACGTTTCAGGGAGACGTTCTTCTTCCAAGCAGACAAGAGATGTGGGACAATATCCGGATGAAATTAGACGCCATGCAGAAACAGTTTGTACAAAGTCCAAGGCACACTATCCAAGTAGATTATATAAACTTCATGGACGAATTGTCAAAACTGAATGGAAATTATCCTTATTTAGGTTTGTAATGGGATAAGTATAATAATTCTGCAATTCTTTATATATTCTCTCTACAATTTGCTTTTATGTAAATACTTTGAATCTCTCTACAATTTGCTTTTATGTAAGTTCATTAAATCTCTCTGCAATTTGCTTTTATGTAATTGCTTTGTCTATCAGAACCAATCATTCTTATTGGATAAATATCTTATTCATACATTTGTATGGAATTAGAGCTTTAATGTAAAAATATTTTACTCAATTTGATTTTTTTATCGTAATGCTTTTGAATTAAATTATTTTTATTTTCATTTATAGAACAACTAGCGATTATGTAACAAAGATATACATTCAAATGTTTAAAATAAATATTTCAACTCATTCCGAAAATAAATTTTCCTAGAATGAACTCGAGTTTCTTCCGTTTGAGCTTATTTATATTACTTTCCCCTTAGTTTGTAGAAGGTATATTTCTTTATTTCTTTTATTTGGTTCACAATTGTCGTTGAATTAAAACAATTTTTAAAAATGGTATAATCCATAAATTTGTGTATTTCACTGAAGGGAAACATCAATATGTTTATTTTTCGTTTTAGTCATGGTAAATGGTCATTCAAATTTTTTCAATAATAAATATTCATGGAAACTTTGTTTACCAACATAGTATCTCTCAGTACATGTGAAAATTAATGAAAACTTATTTTCTTCAGAATGTCACAGTTTGCAACATACAGTAGCCATGCATATTTTTAGTAGTAATCGCATAGAAAAAATACAAATTTATGGACTATGTGAATTTCAAGAAAGAAATTGGCTTACATTATATCTATGTAGATGCTGTTATCATTCCACAGGAAAATTAATGCTGACTGATCCCAAGCTCGCAGCAGTGGTATTCTTCGGTCCAGTGACACCTTTTCAGTACAGAGTTATGGGACCTGGGAAATGGAGCGGTGCCCGAGAGGCTATATTAACTCAGATGAAGAGAATTGATTACCCACTTGCCACCAGACCTCTCGGCTTCTCTGAGACAAACAGTCGAAAGAGCAGTTTCTGGAAATTATGTCTGATTATGTTAGCTATAGCAATGGTGTTTCAATACTTAATGAGATCTTGAGCTTTTTTGTTCAATTTGAATTGTATTTGGATTTAAATATATGGAAGACACATTTTCATCCAATAGTGATGAAATCTGACGGATTTATGATATATCATGTTAAAAAAATTCAAAAGGTTTTCTTTTTCTATATACACATGTATTTGCAAACAATTGAAATGAGTTAAAGAGAATGAGATCCTGTATGCCTTTAATTTTTAAAGCGAAGACAAAATTACAAAATTATAGATTTCTTGTGATCTCATGTGATTTTCTTTTCATTATTTTGTTTTGAAAAAAACTTCTGTGACCGATCAGGCTGATCATTTTTTCCACCTGAATTCAGTACTTTGTCTTCTCCATCACAAATGAGAACATTTTACAAATATTTAATGTGGACATTTTAAATAAAACGATCACTCTCATGTCTCCTTAAGGTACTAATTATTGTATATCATTCTAACTGTTGTTTATAATTTTAAATGTTTATTCGCTTGATCAATAAACACAGTATCAGTCGACTCAATTCGATTTTTTATGCCTAAGCCTAGCCTTGATGACCCGCTAAAATAAGGAATATTTCCAACATTAAATCTTAGACTTAATTCAGTACTCTTTACTAAATAAATTGTGCATATTGGTTGGTTGGTTGGTTGGTTGTTGTTAAAACGTCCCATTTGAGAATTGTTCACTCCTATAGAGACGTCACCATATACCGGGTTTTAAATTTAGATATTATATTCGGCACTCAGGGCCATTGAGCAGTGAGGGTTCTTTATCGTGCCGACGTCTACATGCGCGGATCTAGAGGGGGGGTCGGGGGGTGTCCGGACCCCCCCCCCTGGTATTTGCAGAGTTATTGAAAGTCTATACTGAAGCAAATAAAAAATGACTTTGGACCCACCCCACCCCATCACCACCACGAAATAGGTGTTTTTCATGTTTGAGAATTGCATTCTACGTCTTCTTTTTTTTTTTTTTTTTGCCTGTCAAGAAATTCTTGGGTTAGAAATAATTTTTGGACTGAGGTGACCCCCCCCCCCCGGAAAAAATTCCTGGATCCGCACCTGGTCTACCTTAACAAGGGACCTCGGTTTTTAAGGACTCTGTCTTAGATTTGACGCGGCTCAGCGAACAAGAATCGAACCCGGGCCTCACGATCACATAGCGACCGCCCTACCACTAGGTTAACAGGTAAATTGCATGATCGAGATAATTAAAGAATGCAGGCCATTCTGAATACAAGTAAAAGTTATAGACATTGCCAAATTACTAAGAAATGCCCGTTCCAACCTCAAATTCATGTATGAAATGGATGCTGCCTAATTGCATACTTAGGATACTACATTTGATGTGGTTCCCGTTTCATTGGCTGATTATTTCATGTCATTCACCTTGACACAACCTGTACAATGTCCCATCTATGACAAGAGAAGATCCGTGATTCCATCCTGATCATAAAAAGATATTCAAAATACAGATAATTTTTGCAGCAAAATTAAAACAAAACAAAATTTACAAACAACCAAACTTTATTTTACAACCTCTAGCCTTGCGAAATTAATTGTAATCATTATTTTCTTTTTTCATCGATTACTATCAAATCAATTAAATTATTTCTATCAGCAAAGAATCTTAAGCTTTCTACAATCCAAGAGACCCATGGGCCACATCGTTCACCTGAGCACATTGGCTAGGAAAAAGCACAAATAGTTCAGTATTGAAAAGTTTACGGGGGGACTTAAATTAACACTACAGACAGTCTGATTAAAATCAAACCTTCAGCATAGTTCCTTTTTATTTTGTCACGTGACAATCAAAATAAAAAGGAGCTAGTGAAAGTTTGATTTTAATCAGACTGCCACTACAGGATGCTTCCATATCAATATTACTAAACATGGCTTTTCTGTTCTTGAGTAGAAGAATTTTAAAGATTATTTTTTCCTATGTAAACTCTGATAGCTCATTGTTGCCCCACCCTACCCACCCTAAATTTGAACAATTTTAATCTACACTACCTGAGGATGCTTATATAATAATATAACTTATCATGGCTTTGCTGTTCTTGAGCAGAAGATTTTTTTTTAAATGATTCCTATATAGTCTTATGTACAACTTTATTATTTATTTATTTATTCTTATGTAGAACTTTGACCCTCTGTTGTGCCCCCTAATCTCTGGGGGGTCATAAATTGAACAAACTTGAGTCTACTATACCTAAGATTAACGTTGCTTCTCCTTAAATATGACTAATAATGGGTTAGTTGTTCTTGAGAAGAAGATTTTTAAAGATATTTTCTATGTAACGTGTATGATCAGGCTCTTACAAGGGATATATAGGTTTTCCTTTTACTCTGAGTTAATGATTGGAATGGTTATTAAGAGCTCTGTCTGAGGGTAAATCACACAGTACTAAAATGTTTTTCTTATCCAGAGACGGGGAGTACTACTGGTTAAGGTACTTCTCCCATAGGTTCCTATTGATAGAATTGCGACGGGCACCAATTGTGCCCCTTTATTAGTCGACTTCTTTTCATGTTCGTATGAAGCAGAATTTACATCTAAAACTTCTACGTGAGAAGAAGAAAATTTTACAAAACTTATAGAACTTTACTTTTATTTATGAATGTGTCGACTCGATATATCCCGGTGAACTCGAAATTAAAGACACTACAGTCCGTCACATCTATTAATTTTATACTTTGATGTTTTACTGACGTTAATGACCAACAAATAACAACAGTATGGGTGACAAACGGGATGCTTTCAGCTTCTCCATCGTAAACTTGCTTTATTTATACAGTAATATTCCAACATCACTTGCACATGGTGTTTATGTCTCTGATCTCCCAACTGATTCGATACGCAAGCGCATGCTCTGAGTACGATCAATTTTAAAACCGGGGCAAACTACCACATTCTGAAAGTATAGATTCTTCTGTTATGATTATAACTGACAAAATATTGGCAATAATAATTATCTCATGACAGGCCAGAAATAATTTTTACTTACTTTGATATCCTTTCACACTGTGACAGAATATCATTTGGTATCCTTTCACACTGGGAAAGAATATCACTTTTATTCAATGATCACACTATTTCACAATTGAAAATGCAATAAACAGAAAATTCAATATTTTATAGTTGGATATGGAATTTATTTCACTTGTGAGACAGGATTTTTTTAAATATTTTCACTCGTGCTTCGCACTATCAAATAATATCAAAAAATCCTGTCCCGCTCGTGAATTAAATTCCATATCCAACAATAAAAATTGAATATCCTCTTAATATTAATCACGAAAGTTTTATTATAAGACAGTCTAATTTTTGTGTGTTTCAGGTCTTGAATGAAACGTACGTACGAGATTGTTTATGTATTTTGTTTCCCAGCAGAAGAATGTTGTTGAGATCAATTAAGATTATTATGAATATTTTGCAATTATGGTAAAGATTCACATTTTTTTTTATTGTTGTTACATTGCATGATATATATATATGCACTAAATGAATCTTTCCGGAAATATTAATTCTCTACGTGGATACTTGCGTACTACAATCAAAAGTGTAACGAATGTAAACAATGCTACTGTGAGCCAGTGAGGAAAAGTAATGTTAAGTGTTGATTATATTCATAACTTTCCATTATCTTTCTATTTTCCTGTATTTGGAGTATGGGAGTTCCGTTATCAAAAGAATACAATGAATACAAAAACATTGCGCAACATTCTTCTAACAGTCGTAATTTGATAGCTCCCAGTTTTGGAGCATGCATTCCATTTCTGGAGACAGTAAGCCACTTATCCAATGAAAACTGTTGTATTTCTTACAAATTACAATCATCCTGTATTGGTGATAGACATTTTCATGCCAATATCCAGAAAAAGGGTTTAGCAGCTTTTCTGACTGTCACTGATATTACTCATGGAAAAACGTACACAATATGTGATATTCAGACTCAAAATGAGATAATTCCATTACCAAAAAAGTTACTTCAGTACACGGACTTACAAATCTGCAATGTTGTAGGACTACATTATGAATGGCTTGTAGTTCAGATTTTTTGTCAAGATGGCATAAAGTTCTTTATCTGTGATATTTCAACCAGCACTTGTTTAGTGCAATACACTCATAAATATGTACCTCAGTCTAAGTTGAAATTATATGAGTGCCACATTAGTCCGGATAGAATGTTTATGGTGCTAAAACAAAATCAGCTTTACCAGACTTTGTACAACAGCAACATAGAAGATGGGGAGAATGTTCTTCTTCTGAACATTCACCTACAGATTGGGACATGCACAGAGGAACCATGTGAGCTGCTGCACAGTTTCATCTCCCTTGCTAATGGGAAAGTTGCCATGACATTTGACCCTCGTATGGACAGTGACTTGATTGTTTACACAAGTGAAATGCCTGATAAATTAAACAGAGATATCTATAAAGGACATATAGGACTGTATAAAGCTAGTCGGGATTCATTTCTGTGCACTACAGGACTACTCAATCAAGATTTTCCTGCATTGCCTGGGAAGTTTCTAAATCTTCAGTTCCTTCGAGATGGTTCTGCTATAATTTTGTCAGTTCTTGGGTCTGTGAGTCCCACTAGGACAATTTCTATTTTATGTCGAAACAACTTTGTGACTGTTTATGTCCTAGACTCGGATTGCTTTCAAAGGACTGGGTCTTTTTCTTATGTTTCTCATTCACAGTTTCAACATTTTGCACCAGTGATTTCTTCTAGTGGAACATTAGCTTGTTGTGCAGGCAAAATCTACAAAATTGAACATTCAAGATCCCAACAAAATTCTGTAAAATCTCTTCAGCGACTGTGTTATAATGTTATTGTGGACTTGGTCTTACCAGAAAACGTACAACACTTGCCTCTACCTAAATCACTCAAGACCTATCTCCAGTGATATTTATCAGCAGAAACAGAGCCTTTTTTTTTAATATAATTTTCTTATTGATAACCAAACACAGTATATACATTCAATAATGACCCCTGGTTGACTGTTAAATCTGTAGCAAATTCCAGAAATTTTCAGAAAACATAAAAAAATAGTAAGATACTAAATCACAAATCCACAGCACATTATACATGGAAAATAAATTATTTAATGTCTTAAGCATGTGGTGGAAATAAGGACCAAAATAATATACAGTTGATCATCAATATCTTGAACACTGATATCTTGAATACCATGAATATGTGGAAGTGATTTGGAAGTCCCAAACTCTTATTCTTTAAGTATTTTACCCTGGATATCTTGAAAAAAAATTTCTCAATCCCATTGAATTCAAGATAATGAGGTTTGGCTGTATTTAAATGGTTTTAAAGATTTACTACACATTAGAGTAAAGTATTTCATAGCATCTGGTTTGTTGCATGATCAAGACCTTATGTCTCACTCAATCAAACACCAATATAAAGTAGATACTTAGTACTTTCATTTTCTATAACCAAGTTTTCTCTGAGAGTCCAAGTATTAAAAGTAGGCTTTGTGAATTTTCAAAGATTTTAGCTCACCTGAGCCGAACGCTCAAGTGAGCTTTTCTGATCAAAATTTGTCCATTGTCTGTCGTCGTCGTTGTAAACTTTTCACAATTTCATCTTCATCTCCATAACTACTGGGCCAATTTCAACCAAACTTGGCACAGAGTATCCCTAGGTAAAAGGGATTCAAATTTGTTCAAATGAAGGGCCACATCCTCTTCCAGGGGGAGATAATTACAAATTAGTGAAAATTAATGGCATCTTTAAAATATCTTCTTCTCAAGAACCACTGGGCCAGGAAAGATGAAACTCATGTGGAATCATCCTCAGGTAGTGTAAATTCTGAATTGTTCAAATCATGATCCCTGGGGGTAGGGTGGGACCACTATGGACAATCAAAGTTTTACATAGGAATATATAGGAAAAATCTCCTCAAGAAAAGCAAAGCCATGATTGGTCATATTTATAGGGAAGCATCCTCAGGTAGTGTAGATTCAAATTTGTTCAAATCATGACCCCTGCTGGTAGGGTGGGGCCACAATGGGCGATCAAAGTTTTACATAGGAATATATAGAAAAAATCTTCTCAAGAACAGCAAAGCCATGATTGGTTATTAATAGGGATGTCAACGAATATTCGAGTACACGACTATCGTTAGATCATACCGACTATCGACTAAAATTTCTTTAGTCGGTTATTCGTTAAAAATGTGTTACCTAATAGTAATTTTAAATTCAAGGTAATAAACTTGGATTCGCCCATTTCATTTATATACAGATCAATGTTCTTGTAAGTAAAACTCAGGGTGTGGTTTAACTGCTCAAAGGAAATTATCTGTATGTCGATTTATGTTCGGCAAATATGCCTCCAAAATATACAGTTTTGGTATACTTTAAAAGATGTTATGATGGAAAAGAAGTTAAAAGTACGTTATCAAGATTATGTGAAACTGAACTTGTATTCTGCAGTGGAACATCAAATATGATGTATCATATGCCGAATCCGTCAAACATACATGTAGTTAACACAGTCTTTAAGACTATTCTTGAATAAATGCCAAAAAAGCAGAGCCGGAAAGAACAATGTTGCTAACACAAACATGGTTATCAATGATTGACTACCACTTATTGTTCCATAAGATCTTAGCTTATTTATTAATTAATTTAATGGTGTTTCTTTCCGATATTAATATCATGCAGTCATTTCAAGATTGTATTGATTATTTGTACAAAATCTCATAGTTAAAATTATCACAAGCTCTCTCTGTTTTTATAAGAGGCACACTTTAATTGTTTACCAGTCAAAGGTACTGACACGACACATGGAAATGACTTCAATTAACGGGTACGTGTACTATCGTTATGAAAAGAAAGGACAAGTGCGAGCGTTTGATATCCTGCATTTGATAAAATGTGTAGTAAATATTATATTAATTTTAAAATCAAATACATTGGATAAATGTAGATGTACAGTATTTATTGTACTATGTAAATGTTTACGATTTAGAAATTCGTTCTAATGGTTTTAGCGTACAGAGTAGGTTAAATATTGTACATCTAGTTTATAAAAGATAAATAGTGAAATTAAATGACATGAAAAATTAATTTAAATTTCAACGAAAATTCGACTATCGTTCGACTAAAGCCTCCGACTATTCAACTAAGTTGTCCGAATAAAATTGACATCCCTAGTTATTAACTATTCGGAAGTATCCTCAGGTAGTGTAGATTCATGTTTGAAAAAAATCATGACCCCCTGGGGATAGGGTGGGGCCACAATTGATGATTAAAGTTATGCAAAGGAATACATAGGAAAATTTTTTAAAAATCTTCTCATGAACAGCAAAGCTATGATTATAATTATATGAAAGCATCCTCAGATAGTGTAGATTCAGATTTGTTCAAATCATGACACCCGGGGGTAAGGTGGGACCATAATGAAAGTTCAAACTTGTAGGAAAAAAAAGTCACAGACAAAGAAATATGTAAGCATCTTTAGTTAGTGTAGATTCAGTTTTGTTCAAATCATACCCCCCCCCTCCCTTTTTAGGGTAGGTCAGGACCACTTATGCATTAAAGCTCTTCAATACTGAACTGATTTTTGCTTTTTTCCTAGCCACAGTGCTCAGGTGAGTGATGTGGCCCATGGGCCTCTTGTTAAATTTTGCAGGAAAACAGGTATTACTGATTACCTTCTTGAAAAAATTAAAATATGAGCCCACCCCTTGATCCAAAAAATAAAATGTTTAATAATCTTCAGATTGGGAATAATGATGCAATTCATGACATTATAATACATGGATTAGCAAGAAAATTAGATATTTTCAATAGTTATGCAGTCACTAAGGGTCCATTGGCAAATGATATTCAATGTATTGTCAACTAAAACTGAGCAGTTTTGACTTTCCAGAAATTCACAGAGCCAATAAGGCCAACATTTTTTTATTTTCTGTTTTACGGGAATTTTTTTCAAAAATTTGAGTCGGGGGGTCGAAATAAAAATAAAAATAAAAGCTCGAAATTTAAGCAGTCGGACAGAAAAATAAAAATAAAATGAAAAATGCAATAAAAATTTTTATTTTTAATTTAGGATGGAATTTTTTTCTATGACCTTAATTTGTTAGGAAAAAGGTGTTATTTGAAAAACTTATATATACAAAACACAAAATTGGTACTGTTAATATAATTATGTATCAATGAACTATTTTAAATTTAACCATCTCTTAGATATTTGGGGCAGGGGGTGCATTTCTAGTATTAACAGCTTGCAGTTTCTAACATTAATGCAAATCAAACATACAAATCTATAGTCTTCTCTCAGTTGTCAAATATCATAGTGTCGCGTAGTAAAACTTATAGGACTTCTGTCACACCCCTCATAAACTTTTCAGAATCTTTTATTTTTTGGTATTCAGCAAATTACAATATCTGAGGATTTTGGACTAGCTCTGGCAAAGTTATGGCAAAAATACAGTGAGACATTCAATGGGTCAGTTAAAATAAATTAATTCACAGAAGTGCACATGAGACATGATAAAAAGAAAAGTTGTATAATATCTTTTTTTCAATGCAATTCAAATTAATATATACGTAGATGGAAAAAAGTACCACAATCTCTATGCTGAAAACATATTCAAACTTCCTCAATCTGTAGTATATTTGATCTCTTTTTATCCTTATATTTTTTTCTTTCTGAACATGCTAGCTTTCAACATAATTGTAGAAAATATGTACATTTTTCCCATAGTATACACATGTAAAATAAACATGACAATATTCTGTTTACTGCAGAATTAAAAAATTTAGTTGTTGAAACTGGTTCTAATCCACAACTTTTCAATGAAAAAAAGAGAAACCAGGTCTTGAATTTAAATAATATTTGTAAGGGCGTATCATCTACAACAATACTTTTTACTAGTGGTATAAAAGTTGTTTTACTAAACAAGAGCATCCTCGCAAGCCAGGGGTCCTAAGTCAACACGTTGCCGTTGGACCAACGGCAACGTATTGACTCAGGACCCCTGGCTTGCGAGGATGAAACAAGAGATACATAATTATACTCTATATCAGCTGTTATTAATAGCTGATGTACATTAATTTGTTACGTAGCATGCAAAATTCCATATAATGACAAAAAAGGAAATAATGTCTTGTATTAATCAAGCATATACTTTCGTCAGTAATTTTGAATTCCAATATTTGTCATAAAACGAGTGAAAGTTGTGACTCGAATTTCCTCCGTCACGCCACTTAATTTCTACCAGTTCTACAGTGTTCTTTTCTGTCGTTAATTGTGAAAGAAAACATTATTGTCTTAGAATTCAGTTTAAAAAAAATCTTCCAAGATGTAATTCAATGTATTGAAGCAACTGTCAAAGATAATACGTACTCAAAACCTTTCAAAACAAGCGGTTGACAGAACCTCAATTTCCACGTGGCCCTCTGCATGACATTTGATCAAGATTACTGTTTCGTCTATTTCATTCAGTCTTTCATTAAAAGTTAATCTGAAAATTATTCTTTTTCTAATATATGACATTGACATGTCACTTTTTAAAATGACTGTTTAAAAATAGATGAAACCCTCCGATTCTGACATTTTGGCGCTATGCTGTGCAGTAACTATTCACACTTCGAATACTGTGATTGGATTGATATATTTACCTCAGCCAATGACAAATCGCATTTTGAAAGGATTGTGAAAAGTTTATTTATATTTCTTTTATTTTTTCAGGGACTATAAATAATCTATCGGCGGGAGAAATAAAAATAAAACTTGAATTAGGGACTTTTATTTTTATTTCATTTTAGCCCAAATTAGGGTCGGCGCTCCCGTAAAACAGGATATAAAAAAATGTTGGCCTAAAGTGAACCTTGCTCTTTAAATAATACTGATATCAAATGAATAAGTTCACATGCCAATGTTTTCTGATACACATGTATTAATAAAGACAATCCAAATAGTATTGTTACTTTTATTACATATTGAATCACAAGTATTTCAATCAAGTACAAGACTTTCTTTGTTTTCAAAAAATAGTGCATCCTTTAAAAGCATGATCCATTTAGTGTGGTCAACAGTGTTAAATCTACTACCATGAGGTATGACATGCATGATGGTGTATACAAACAATTGTTCTTGTACTGTCAAGGTCAATGCACAAATATGAAGATGTGTGATGATTTGAAGACATTTTGTATAAGTTTTGAGGATATTTTGTATAAATAAGTTTTAAAAAAAAAGACATACACAAACTCTTAAAGATGCCCACTTTTTCTTGCTCATGTTATATACTACAAGTATTAAGTTTATTGCACAAATATCTACTACATATGGCCTTTTTGGATTGTTTGGTAAGAAAATCATGTTTTGCTCAAATTCAAGTTGACTTTGGTTAATACACTGTGATACATACTGTGGAATCATTAAAATTTGTGGGGCCAATTTTCATGCATTGCTTAAATTTTACAGGTTTGTAGGGACATAATTTTGTGTATTCTCATACCTACAGAAGGAACTATGACTTTGTTACCATAGTTTACTAATTTGTGGAGGATGTTAATTCGTGGATGAGAGTTATCCATGAATTCCACAAAAATTGAGCAAATGTAAAATCTAATGATTCCATAGTATATTCAATTTTATCAAATATCCTTCTACAATGCAATACAATTGTATTTCATTACTTTGGAAAATTCCACGTGTTGTATCTACAAATTGTATCTTTATTTGATTTTGAAGTATATTAGATGCAAAACTGATGTATTAAAGTGTCACTTCAATCATATAATACGTTTTTCAAAGCACTGAAAGACAAAAAACCAACAATAATTATAATCGGTTTTAGTATGTGTGCTCTAACTGAGTACCATATGTTGATCTGTTGAGTAAATGTGTACTGCATCTTGCTCTGTTAATTATACATATATAAAAGATAGGAAAATGTCAAGAAAAAGGATGATCCAAAAGCCAAAAAAAATTGTATATCAAATAGACAATTTGAATAATATGTCTGACAATAATTGCAATTCATCATAAGCCAGGGTAAGACTTTGCATCTGTCACTTTCAAATTTCAAATCTGATTAAAATAAATATGATCAAAATTTAGTAAGGTATTATCAGATTTTTATAAAGGTTAGTGTACTTTTGTATAAGTGTTTCAAGCTAGGGTTAAAAAAAAATTCAGATACTGACATCATTTTTTTTTTTTATCAGCTGTGCTATTTAACAACATGAAACTTGGCCAAGACTAGTGCCAAATTATTCAACCAGTTATGCCTTTCAATTACTCAAATAATAATACCAAACATTAATAAGACATATATATATATATATACATAACATATATATATGTAAGTGATTAAATAAAAGTATTAGGCAACTGGATAAGGCATACATTGTGTCATAAGCTAATTATATCATAATAAAATATAAAAATCA